ATGGATAACCTTCCAAAACAGAAAGCACCAGACCCAGATGGGTTCACTGGTGAATTCTATCAAACTTTTAAGGAAGAAATTATACCAATTCTCTACAATCTCCTTCAGAAGATAGAAGCAGAGAGAATACTTCCTAACTCATTCTCTTAGGTCAGCATTACCATAACACCAAAACCAGCTGACAACATTACAAGGAAAGAGACTACAGACCAATATCTCTCATTAACACAGATGCAAAACTCCTCAACAAAATATTAGCGAATTGAATTTGAAAGTTATATAAAAAGAATTATACACCATGACCAAGTGAGATTCAACACTCAAAATTTAATTAATGTAATTCATCACATCAACAGGATAAAAAAGAAAATAACATGATCATATCAATAGATGCAGAGAAAGTATTTGACAAAATCCAATACCCACTGATGATAAAAACTCTCAATAAACTAGCAGTAGTGGGGATCTTCCTTAACTTGATAAAGAATATCTATAAAAAACCTACAGGGACTTCCCCGGTGGTCCAGTGGTTAAGACTCCGCACTCCCAATGCAAGGGGTGTAGGTTCGATCCCTGGTTAGGGAACTAAGATCCTGCATGGCGCGTGGCATGGACAAAAAAAGAAAAAAAATTTTAAGAAAAAAACCTACAGGGCTTCCCTGGTGGCGCAGTGGTTGAGAGTCCGCCTGCCGATGCAGGGGACGCGGGTTCGTGTCCGGGTCCAGGAAGATCCCACATGCTGTGGAGCGGCTGGGCCCGTGAGCCATGGCCGCTGAGCCTGCGCGTCCGGAGCCTGTGCTCCGCAACGGGAGAGGCCACAACAGTGAGAGGCCCGCATACCGCAAAAAAAAAAAAAACCTACAGCTAACATCATACTTAATGGTGAGAAACTGGAAGCATTTCCACTAATATCAGAAACAAGGCAAGTATGCCCCCTCCCATAATGCCTTTTCAACATCATACTGGAAGTACTAGCTACTGCAATAAAACAAGAAAAGAAAAGAACACATGTATAGGTTTGGAAGGAAGACATAACTGTCTTTGGTCACAGATTATTCTATCACCTATGTAGGAAACCAAACAACAACAACAAAAAACCTTCCTAGAACTAATAAGTGATTATAGCAAGGTTGCAGGATATATGGTTTATATACAAAAGTCAATTGTTTTCCTATATACCAGCACTGAACAAGTGCAATTTGAAATTTAAAATACAATGCAATTTACAGTAGCATCCCAAAAATGAAATACTTAGGTGTAAATCTAACGAAATATGTACAAGATCTATATGAGGAATACAACAAATCTATGATGAAAGAAATGAAAGAACTAGATAAATGGAGAGATATTCTGTGATCATGGATAGGAAGGCTCAATATTGTCAAGATGTCAGTTTTTCCTAACTTTGATCTACAGATTCAGTGCAATCCCAACTGAAATCCCAGCAAGTTATTTTATGGCTATCAACAAGCTGATTCTAAAGTGTATACTGAGAGGCAAAAGACCCAGAATAGCCAGTGCAATATTGAAGGAGAACAAAGTTGGAGGACCAATAGTACTAAGGGTATTGGGTCATATAAATCTACTATAATCAAGACAGTGTGGTATTGGTGAAAGAACAGACAAATAGATCAATGGGAAAGAATAGAGAGCCCAGAAATAGATGCACAGAAATACAGTCAATTAATCATTGACAAAGGAGCAAAGGCAATAGAATGAAGCAAAGATAGTTTTTTCAACAAATGGTGATAAAAAAACTGGTTATCCACATGCAAAAAAAAATGACTCTATACACAGCCTTTACAGCCTTCACAAAAATTAACTCAAAATGGATCACAAACCTAAAAATAAAACTATAAAACTCGTAGAAGGTAACACAGGAGAAAACTAAGATTACCTTGGGTATGACAATGGCTTTTTAGATACAACACCAAGACACAATCCATGAAACAAGTAATTGATAAGCTGGACTTCTTTAAAATGAAAAACGTTTGCGCTCT